TCTCTTGGGCATGCTCTTCATCAGTGTGATACCGTTCCTTCTTTCTATCCCTTTCAGCCTGTGCATGCTCTTCATCTGTGTGATACCGTTCCTTCTTTCTATCCCTTTCAGCCTGTGCATGCTCTTCATCTGTGTGATACCGTTCCTTCTTTCTATCCCTTTCAGCCTGTGCATGCTCTTCATCTGTGTGATACCGTTCCTTCTTTCTATCCCTTTCAGCCTGTGCATGTTCTTCATCAGTGTGATACCGTTCCTTCTTTCTATCCCTTTCAGCCTGTGCATGTTCTTCATCAGTGTGATATCTTGTCTTCTTCCTGTCCCGTTGAGACTGGGCATACTTCTCATCCTCCTGGTACCGTTTCCTTTCTCGTTCCCGTTTGGCCTTCTTGCGGTCCTCGACGTTATCATTCAGTGTGGTCTTTCTCTTGCTGCTAGTGACTGGTGAGACCTCTGCAGATTCTTCACCCTGGCACAGTGTCATACTCCTTGTCTCTTGACAGCTCCATACTTTTGTGACAACTTCAAAGTGATTTTGGTTTGCATGATTGAGGTATATAGCATTACCTGGTTTCAACATGATTTGATCACCAATACTTTCGTTTGATGGGTACTTAAACCACTTCCACTCCTTGCCGTACTTAGTGTACAAATAGATGCGTACTCCCAAGAATAAAGCCATTGCATCCATTTCTACCTGTGAGGCCCATGCACCAAGATCTCCTGGACGTTTCCCTCTCTCATCTCGACGGTTCAGGTACTGACACATGGTTAGTCCTCCATCGAACCAAGACCTGTAAACATTCTCAGGCAATGTTGACATAAACTTAATCAAATGCTGCCTTAGTACTTTATGATATTCTTCGGTGCCACAGATATTGTAACTAATTGCATTATAAAAACAATTCCCATCTCCTCGTATAGAAACAATACCGCTACTACAAGGTGTCTTCAAAGGGACATTCCTCTGCTCCATATTGTGGTATTCTTTAACAGTAATGATTTCATTTTCCTGTTGGGCATGCCTGTTTACCATACTGGCCACATTCAATTGATCTTCTTGTGTAAAAGGGTCAAAAATGAAACCTCCTTCATTATCCCAGGCCCCTGTTTCCTGTACATCCTGGTCATCAACTGGCTCCTCTCCACTTACCTCCACCTCCATGAGCATTTCAGCTGGCTTCTGTACTCCTGACTCTACTTCCTGTACTGACTCTACCTCTGCTTGCTTGTCATCCTGCTGGCTGGGTTGCTTCTCCGTTTTTTGCTCTTCCTTCCATGCACTCAACCTCTCAGTCAATTTTTTCTTCTTACGCCTAGGCATTTCTGAAACGTTTAAAATACCAGAAATTACAGGTATGTACGTGTTAATTTTGCTGACCAAAGATCCTTTTACCGTATAAAAAATGTAGTGATACATACACTTATGGCGTGAATAAAATTCAGGAGCAATGCACAAGTTTGTAAGATTTTTATTACCACCACAAAGTAAAGAAAGCACACCATCAGATTTACGAGATTTTTTTTCTAGCCGGGGATGCAAACCCTGTCACTTTAGCAAATATTAATACACCATAATCATCGTGTTCTACACAGACCAAAATAATCATCAGTCATTCATGCATGCATAGAGAGAATTCTACGAATGAACATCCATATAGCATTTTATACTATAGCGATTACAATATTATACAACATAAAATTGATTGTCCATAGCGCTTGCCAGAACGTTCTCAATGTTTACGTCACATCGATACATTAATTTGATTTGCCTCCCGTAGCACCCAAACTACATACTATGTAGAGTAGAAACGTCGGCCGGGTAGGACTAAATCCGTCCAGTTTGGGCCGCTCCTGTTGACTTCCTTCAGATAATCGTTAGTGGTTAGAAATTCAGACTATCCACTTCTTACCTGATGATATTCCCTGTTTTTGACGGGATTTGGGTTGGTTGTGACACAGTAAAGACGAGAAACCTTACGGTGAAAACCAGGGTCAAAACAGAAAAAGTCGTCTGCAGTGTTCCGAATAGTCCAACTAGCGGGTGGATGGCCGAATAATAGAATACCAAAAAAAATATATAAACGAAGAGTCGGACCTGAATTTATCTTCTTGTCGTACATATCCTGCCGCACTGACTACAAATTAGGTTCATTAAATCTTCCCAAATGCTTCGTTTTACCCAAAAATATGAAATGATAACAAAACTGGACCCCCGTCAGGGAATGTCAATGGACGCGTCGAAACTTCTCGAAACCAATCAGCTTCAGTTTTAGAAAATCTGAAATCGCGGGTGATTTGAAAGGCGTTCTCTGATTGGTCTGCGAGTCAGCCCAGCTGGGACACCGCCGAGCTGTAGTAGCCGAGCTGTGCGTTGAGGAAAAACGTAAGTCATGATTTCCTCTTTTTTCTATGAAACTTTTGGCTATTAATAATTGGCAAGGAGTTTTAAACCTTCTTACAATTTTTTTTACACACACACACGCACCATTCCTGAGTTCTGTCGTTGTGACGTCTACTTCTACACAATATTCTGACAGAAAAATGACGACTTTGAACCATGTTTGAATAGACTAAGTTAGAGAAAATTGGCGCCAAATGACTAGTTATAGAAGTTATTATATTTACGTAGTAGTCTGCGTTATGAATTCGTCTATGTTGTTTGATGATTGCTCAATGTCTTCTTCCACCATGTATAAAACCAGGTAAAATTAATATAACGGTTCAGATCATCCTCAGTGGTGTGTCAGTTTTTGTTTAAACATATGTCTTTAAACGTTAGATGGCGAACAAAGAAGGGCATGGGAAGGGAGATGACCTACAGGAACTAGAAGAAAGGGAAGACATGAACAAAAGACTGGATGAGGTAGTGGCCATGCAGAAAACAATTTCTGAAAATATTGCGGTGATGCAAGAGAGAGTGGTGGAGAGGGGAATGCAGAGGCTGGATTTGGGAAAAGAGGAGGAGATGTCCCTGTAAGTAATTGTTGTTGATATATAATCATATCTTTTCAATAATAATTGTAGTTAGAAATTAATTTTTGGGAAAATGTTTGGGTGCACCATATACATTTGTAAGATAAGTAGAATGTCATTATATGAACTAATCATATGTTTTATTTCTAAAGATAAGTACTACACAATTATTTCATTTTTTATGACAGATGTTAAAACATCTTTACATGAGAAAAGCTGCAAAAATATTGGGTGCACAGAAAAAAATAGGGTGGTTTGGGTACACGTGCACTTAGTATTTTGAGCCCTGATAATGAATGTTGAATATGACATTGAAATTTAACCATATTGGCATCATATAAAACACATACAGATGTAACTCCTATATAATCATCATGTCCTGCATACTACATTGAATAAAACAGGTGTTTTGAGGTTGCCTGTGAAATGTGTGATTTAGCGTCACGTTACCCTATAATTTATAAATATTAAACTTGTTAACCAGTATTCAATATTTCTTTTTCAAATGTTTCCACAACAGACAATCAGAATGGATAAAGGCAAATACAGCAACAAAGTGAGTTACTTTCTTATTTTTTAGAACTATCGCTTTGATTTTGATATCAGAAATGCTGTATATACATATATCAGAAATGCTGTATATACATATGTAAATCTTCAGGCAAAGCTACCAACTTAACACTGAACAAAACAGTAAGCAGTGAGTCTCACAAATATATGACTAAGATTATACCCGAGTTTTTGTAGACACCCCCTATTTGTCTGATATTTTTCTGTCTTTCCTATTTAGTGACAAGACATGCTACAGGTGCGGCGGCCGCGGCCACTTTGCTCGCGTCTGCCCGAGTGAACCAGAAGGGTAAGCTCAAACTTATTTTCCTTTGTTGTATTCTTGAATCAATATCTTACTCATTACATTTGCAAAATAAGCATTTGAATTAATCTTACTGAAAAATCTAATGCAATGATATCATAATTATTCTTGTAAAATTTTGTCTTCTGCAGAAACTACAATCCATTCAGTGATGGAGGACAGGGGTACCAGGGAAGGAGAGGTGGAGGCGCAGTGAGGAGGGGGGGATATGGGAGGGGACGGGGGGGATATGGGAGGGGACGGGGGGGAGTATGGACGAGGACAGGGGGGAGTCAATATCTACTACAATTATTAAAAAGTAAAAATCTTGAAACTCATAACCCTCTGAGTCTGAGACACTATTTTGTTTAATGTTAAAGAAATTTTGAGAAGTTAAGGTTTCCCTTTGGTGTGGTTTCATTCAAGGTATATTTTCATTTGTTGCATTGTTGTATATTTATTAAAATTGATTCCATGTTACGGCATTTCTGACATGAGGATACCTGTCCTTTCAATACATTGCCTGCTCTTGTCAATAAATAGTGAAGTCTTTTCGATACATAAGTCATGATAGTGAAGTTTTTTCAATACGTTGGCTTAGTTATGTACATGAGTAAAAATTGATTCCATGTTACGGCATTTCTGACATGAGGATACCTGTCCTTTCAATACATTGCCTGCTCTTGTCAATAGTGAAGTCTTTTCGATACATAAGTCATGATAGTGAAGTTTTTTCAATACGTTGGCTTAGTTATGTACAAGAGTTACCTTCATTTCGCAAAAATAAACTACTGTTAGTGATCATACACTCTACAGAACAGTGAAAACCACAAACAAGAAAACCATTGTGAAGATGTCTGCAAGAATTGAAGAAATCAACAGAATTATGCATCCTTTATCATAATAAAGCAGCCTCCCATTATCTTGCAAGCTTACCATGACTAGATGATGCAGGTCAGCATAAGTAGTCTCGAGTCATGTTAGCAAACTGGGCCATGCCAAGTAGTACTATTGTCTCTGTGCTCGGTGGATCTGGAGAAAATGACTCACGCGATGGAAGACATGGTCAGCAAATAACACATTACCATGTTCGCTCAAATGCAAGCCATCTGATAACATTGACCTGTTAACATTGCGGCCATTGTCACAGTAGTGAACTCCTTCAGTTTCACACATCTTAGCCAACTCTTCGTTCACAGCAACACGTCTACCATCTTTGTATCTTGAGTCTAGCCTTGGTAAAATGCTAGATACCACAATACTGGATGCAGGGAAGCACTCTTTTGCATTACCAATCAGTTCGGCAAAGTCCCCCATGACTTCCTGCAAACTTATACCTGTGGACAGATTGTTAGTGCCAACATGTATGAACACGACATCTGGTACACCAAAGCCAACATTTCGATTACGTACAATATCTTGAGAAACATCAGCAACTCTTCACCGCGGTTTGCATGTACATACAGTTGAAAAGGTGCTGATGGTGGAACATGGTGAGCTACATACTTGCAAATAGAGTCGGAGAAAAGCAACACAACAGGACGTTCCGCTGCTGTGGCCATGTTTCCTTACCCTTGTCGAGGACACGCCAAAACTTCTATGTCAAAATTCGTCTTATAAAAACCACAAAATATCCTTCACGTTCTGTAAATGTTGTAGCCGATGCACCTCCAAACGGAAAGGTCAGCTACCAAATCGTACAGAACAGTCACTTTTAGCAGAAAACGCAAAGAAGGATGATCAAACACGACTTCGTACTTCAAAAAGATTCTTAAGCATCGCTTGTTTTAATTCTCATTAGAAATATTTTTGACAATGAAATAATTCCGTAACTCAAATCATGAGTACATTGTGCGGCAGTTTTTATCCTTTATTAGCGCTTAGATGCATCCAAATCTAACCATTATTACTTCCGGGTTAAAGTACCGAATGGGTCATCACGCTTCGTCAGGTTCATGGTGCATTACGACAAATCCTAACCAATCAGCTTCGGCGTTATAAATTCGCGGCGGATTTCAAAAGCGTTCTATGATTCACCTACAGAAACACACACACAAAAAACACACAAATAAAACGATAATCGCGGGAAGTCCCGCACAGCGTCCTGCACTCTTCCGCAACGTCCCTCGAAAATTGATGCGTATTTCGTGGCCTGTGCTGTAGATATAATGTTTCCACCGCTTTTACAACACACCTTTTCCCTGGCAAAACTTGTAAACAAACATAAGAATCAGGGTGTAGACGCTTGTGGTAGAAAATAAATTAATTAACCAACAGCCAATCAACAGCCAGATCTGCAAAAATGGCCACACCTGTTGCATGCTTGCATGCCCATATATGGGCCTGCTCCCGAATTCCTTTCTTATTACGTCACGCGCGTACTTCTCCACAATACTTTCCTATGGGAACAGCTAAAAAACAAATAAAACGATTGTAAAAGCTTGTATCAAAAAAATTTAAAAAACGCCTAGGGGTATTTACCCACTCTACCTCTATACGAAATTCCAGGTAATTTCTCCCAAAAATGAAGGAGTTGAATCAACTTAAAGAAGTGGCAGGAGGAGGAGAAGGAGGAGGAGAAGGAGAAGAATCATCAGTAAAAACAGTATTTCACTCCATACTGTAGTATGGAGTGAAATAA